CAAACCGAAAGCTGGACATCTTTTGTAGAGATTTAGGGATGGTGGGGCATCCTGGAAGTTGGTGGATATTCGACCAAATATCATGAGCATATCCTTTTTAACAGGATGTGGCCCAGGAAGTCAAGCACTGGGCTAAGGGAATTGCTTTCATTGAATTGTCTGTTTCTGTGGAAACCCTGGGGCTAACAATTCAATGAAAGCAATTTCCACAGACCCATAGCAAACTCTCATCTAGGCACAACCTCCTCCAGTTATCTAGACAATCATGAAGCATTTCCCTTACACGCTGGTGGAAATCAGCTTGGATTTAGATAGATGCTCAAACGGTCACCAAAGGCATTTGAAAATCTGGAAGCATTCTGCCAGGTCCAGGGGTCACAGTTGGTGCATGGACAGATGGGGACACTGAAGCAAAAACGCATCCTCAGACACAGACAGCAGCCAGGCCTATAGCTGAGGTGAGATGCTTCCCTCCAAGGCATGGCACCTTCTGGATCTAGTGGGATGGGCTGGAGGGGAGAGCCCATACCCACACTTCCTGGGGTTCTCAAGGACCTAGGCACACCAGCCCCAGCTCTCCCTGCTCCATCTTGATCCTGTGTGCACCCAGAAAATATCGTGATAGTTTGGTGCCTGTGGAAGCCCCAAAGGACTAACCAGGAGTTGGTAACATTTTTGTGCAAAGGGCCAGATGGTAAATATTTTAGGCTTTGCCATCCCACTGTGTATGTCACAGCTTCTCAGCTCTGCTCTATGAGGGCAGAAGCAGCCTTCGTCAATATATGAATGAATAAACAAATTTTCATGGCTGTGTTCCAATAAAACTTTATTTGCGAAAAGTGAAATTTATGTAATTTTTACAGGCCACAATATATTTTCTTTTTATTTTTTCCACCATTTTAAAATGTAAAATCCATTCTCACTTTGCTGGGCAAACAAAGAGGCAGTGGCTGGATTTGGCCTGCCAGCCTTAGTGAGGACTCCTGGACTAAAACTGCTGTGTCTTGGAAGGGCTCAGGGCAGGACCGAGGGATGGACCTGCTCCCTCGGGAGCAGCCAGGTTGAGCACAGAGCCTCAGAGGCAAGCTTACTAGAGTCATCTTCCTGCAGCAGCCCCAGCTCAGCGGTGAGTGCTGTAAGTCAGATGTGCCAGGTCTGGGCCCTCTGATGACTCACAGAGAAGCCCCACACATTAGAGTAAGGCAGCTGCTCAACATGACACTTTCCTGCCATCTACTGGAAAGTTGTTATGGTAATAAATAGATCTACCAGGACAATGCATTTGAATAACATTTCCTTGGAGCTTTGCAATGATCATTTGTTTAATTTAAGCAGTGATTCTGCGTTCAAAGGTGACATCATGCAATTTGGGGGAAGCGAGGCAGAATGGAGAAGGGAGGGAAGAAGGATCATCGCTGTTCTTACCCAGAGTTTGGGCTAGTTTTAGTTCAAAGTGGTCATGTAAGATGAACTCTCCTGGGTGTAAGTTGGGGCTCTATTTAAGCAACATGTTGATTCATTCAGGCATCCTTCCCAGCATGCCTACCTTGTTACAGCTTGTCTCCGCCCTCCACTGAATCAGGTTAGACCGGTGCTCTGCCCTCCACGGGAGGTGGTCTGCCAACAGAAAGTCTCTCAGGAAAGTGAGGGTCCCACACACTTGCCTCCACCGGACCCTAGAGGGACAGAAAAGAGTGGAAGCCATTAGCATGACAGCCCTTCTCAACCTCAGCCTGTCCACACAGCAGTGGGGTCCTGTTCATTCGGCAAGGAGAACCTGGATAAGGTTAAGCTTTCCCACAGACTGTGTGACCTGAGCCAGCCCCTGGTCTCCTTTGCCTTAGTTTCTTTGTCTCCTGGGCAAGAACAGCAGTGGGAGACGGTGCTGTCTCACAGAGATTCGTGACCATAGGATGAACACTTACACATGGGCCAGCCTGTGGCCTGAAGGCTGCCGTGAGAACAGGAGGTGGAAGCAAAGGGGCTGGTTCGACGTACGTAAAGTGTGATAGAAGAGCTACCAGACACAAGACAGTCAACAACACGGCGGGAGTCTCTCGGGACCTAGCAGTGAGTCCCCAGGTGTCCAAATAACACTGGAGAAGGGTCAGAGACCGAGACCAAGGGATATTTGCAGAGACCACGAGGTTAACCTTCTCTAACTTAAAACCAAAGCCTTTACTCTGTACCCTAGGGAAGCAGGGAAGGAAGAGACAGGGCCGATGGGCTTGCCTTGCCTGTCTCCAGACATTTCCCGCCCTCAGGCAGGTTGATAATCCAGGTCAAGAGTTTCTGCAGCAAACATGTGAGGGCACAGTGAAGACTCGGTAAACCAAACATGCGCGTCAGCTGGAACTCAGGAAACTGAGGTGCAGAGAGCCCCTTTCAGGCGGGGGAGGAGGGGGCGGGTGGCGGCTGGGGTAGCACAAATGCAAACATCAGACCGAAATCTGGCAACAGAACTGTCCAGGCAGAGTGCAGACCCCAGTGTTATGACAGCTGCTCAGGGCAGCCCGGCACCGAGGCACGGCGTGGGGCGCGCGGCCTGGGGAGGGCTGAGTGTTATCACTCGCCCGACACTGTCTGCCACAAGCTGACACAGCACCCGCGGCAGATTAATCTTATAAACTTAAAAACCACTTTCTCCTCATCCACATCCCATGACTAACCCTCCATGTTGAAGCTTCTCTATGAGAACATGGGACTCCTCTGGGCCGGGTGTGTTGTGAAGGGCACTTAGCATGACCCAGCACAGAAGACATAGACCAATGTTCAGATCCACTGTGACCCAAACAAGGAAGATGAGACCTCCGCTGGCTAACCTGCCAGCACTTCCTACAAGTATTTCAGGAGCCTCGAGAGCCAGACCCTCAGACGCTCCTCCCCTCCTCTCTTGGTACTCTCCATCTCCTACCACGTGTCACCACCGGCAGCCCTACCAGCCAAGCTGGAGGACACAGCTGCCCCTGGCCTCCAAGCAGACATGAGTCTGTCCTCAGGGAGTGGGCACTGTAGCCCATGCTGCTCACCAAACCACAGGCACAAAATTCTTCTTACCCCAACACCTCACCATAGTCTGAGCTCAGGGTATTATTTTTTGTGGGAATTTCCTAAAGACCTGGGAATAAGCCAAGGGAAATATAACAGAATAACTTAGAAGTGGGCCTCATGTTTGGAAACAGCCTAGGTGCCCATCAGCAGATGGCTGGATCAGAAAACTATGGTACATCTACACAATGGAATACTATGCTGCCATAAAAAAATCTTTTCTTCTTTTTTTTTTTTTCTTCTTTTTTTTTTTAACAGAGCTTGGTGACTTCTTAGCTTTATTTTTTTTTAATATGTTTTATTGATTTTTTACAGAGAGGAAGAGAGAGGGATAGAGAGCTAGAAACGTCTATGACAGAGAATCATTGATCAGCTGCCTCTTGCACACCCCCCACTGGGGATGTGCCCACAACCAAGGTACATTCCCTTGCCCGGAATTGAACCCAGGACCTTTCAGTCCAAGGGTAGACGCTCTATCCATTGAGCCAAACCAGTTTCGGGGGGGGGGGGGGGGGGGAATTCTTACCAATTGCAGCAACCTGGATGGAATTGGAGAACATTATGCTAAGTTAAATAAGCCAGTCAATGAAAGAAAAATACCACATGATCTCACTCATTTGTGGGTAATAAAAAACATTATATCTCTATCCCTCTCTCCTCCTCTCTGTAAAAAATCAATAAAATATATTTAAAAAAAAAAAAAAAAAAAAAAGCCGAAACCGGTTTGGCTCAGTGGTAGAGCTTCAGTCTGCGGATGGAAGGGTCCCAGGTTCGATTCCGGTGAAGAGCATGTACATTGGTTGCGGGCACATCCCGGGTAGGGGGTGTGCAAGAGGCAGCTGGTCGATGTTTCTCTCTCATCGATGTTTCTAGCTCTGTATCTCTCTCTCCTCCTCTCTGTAAAAAATCAATAAAATATATATTTTTTTAATTATAAACTGATGAACAAAAAGATAGATACAGAGGCAGTAAAGCATCAAACAGACTGTCAAATTACAGTGGGAAGGTTAAGGAGAGGTGGGGAAGATAAGAGATCAACCGAAGGACTTATATGCATGCATATAAGAATAACTAATGGCCGAAACCAGTTTGGCTCAGTGGATAGAGCATCAGTCTGCGGACTGAAGGGTCCCAGGTTCAATTCCGGTCAAGGGCATGTACCTTGGTTGCAGGCACATCTCCAGTAGGGGGTGTGCAAGAGGCAGTGGGTCGATGTTTCTCTCTCTCTCTCATTGATGTTTCTAGCTTTCTATTTCTCTCTCTTCCTCTCTGTAAAAATATCAATAAAATATATTTCAAAAAAGAATAACCAATGGATGCAAAACATTGGAGGGTGAGGGCATCCTCATCTGCAAGGCACCATATATAATATGTAAAAGAAAACCTAAGGATATATCTTCTTTGTATACAAAGAACTTATGTAATTTCCCTGGCCAGCATTGCTTAGTGGTTAGAGCATTGGCCCATAAACCACAAGGTCACTAGTTCAATTCCTGGTCAAGGGCACATACCTGGATTGGGTAGTGTCTCAAGGAGTCATTAGGGTGAGGTAGCAGAGTCTATCAGACCCAAACAGACCAACATTTGGCTATGTGAAGGACGGGGGACCCTACCTGTGCATGAATTTTGTGCAATGGGCCTCTACTACATTATATAACTTATAAAGTGATTCCCCTAAGTCTAGTTCCACTATACATAGTTATTACAGTATTATTGACTATATTTCTTATGCTGTGACTATTTTGTAACTGTTAATTTGTCCTTCTTATCCCTTCATCTTTTGACTCAGACCCCATATTCATTCTAATTCCCAGAGTTGCCAAAACATACACATTGGAAAAGAAGTAATGAAGCTGTCATTAGTCACTGGCATGTTTGTGTATGTAGAATATCCTATGGACTATAAAAATAAAACCACTAGGAGTCCAAGATCTGGGAGAAGAGCCTGGCAGTGTTGCTTCCATTTTGATTCTTTCTCGCTGGTTCACATTCACCTGTGTGAAATATGAGTTGGATTCTAAGATCAAAAGATGACTGGAGTTCCATACTAGTAGAAGATGAAGAATCTGAACAGCAAGTTGGACCCATGGTTGACCAGCAGCCGAGTGATGAAAAACCTAAACAAGAGGAGTCACCCTCTGAAAATCAGGATGTTACACCTGAGGAAGAGAAATCAGATGGAGGAGCACCTGAGGTTCAGGGACTGACATGGAAGCTGATACCCAAGAACTGGTGAAACCAATTTTTGGGCCTGAGGGTGGAGATGATCCTGATGTCATTGGACATGCTTATGGAAATCCAGAGCCCATCAAAATGCCAGAAACAGGGGAAGGAAAACCACCCATTTAAAGAAAGATGATCTGAAGACACACAGATGTTTCTGATGTTGGATACTTCATTGTTAAAGTTCTCTCAATAGCCGAGACTGGTTTGGCTCAATGGATAGAGCGTCGGCTTGGGGACTGAAGGGTCCCGGGTTCGATTCCGGTCCAGGGCATGTACCTTGGTTGTGGGCATATCCCCAGTAGGGGGTGTGCAAGAGGCAGCTGATCGATGACTCTCTCTCATTGATGTTTCTAGCTCTCTATCTCTCTTCCTTCCTCTCTGTACAAAATCAATAAAATATATTTTATAAAGTTCTCTCAATAAAGTTTTGCAGCATTAAAAATAAAAATAAATAAATAAATAAATAAATAAATAAAAATAAAACCACTAGGACACTATTTGAGTTTGGTAAGATTACAGGACACAAACTCAATAAAAAACTAATTGTATTTCTACACAATGGCAACAAAGGATTAGAAAATGAAATAAAAGTACTTTTTAAATGGTATCAAAAATGTCAAATATCTAGGAAGAAATTTATTGAAATACATATAAGATCTCAACACATAAACATGTCTTAGAGAACTGTGCATTGAAACATCTAAAGTTGGGCACATAGCCGAGACCGGTTTGGCTCAGTAGATAAAGCATCAGCCTGAGGGCTAAAAGGTCCCAGGTTCGATTCCAGTCAAGGGCATGTATCCTCAGTGAGGGGTGTGCAGGAGGTAGCTGATCGATGTTTCCTTCTCTCATCGATGTTTCTAACTCTCTATCCCTCTTCTTTCCTCTCTGTAAAAAATCAATAAAATATATTTTTTAAAATAAATAAATAAAGTTGGGCACATGGGAGCTGAGAAAGAAGGAAAGCTGAGACAAGCCAGGGATGCAGGCCTACACCTAAGAGCAATGGCAGGGCTCAGCCTGGAGAGGGGAGGATTCAGATTGTGGCTGGCATTCCCTTCAGCCAGGGGAGCAGAGAGATTCAGTGGACATTTCTGTGTGGCATGGGCAGTCTGACCTGAAGCTGAGCCCAGAGACCTGGGCAAGGACACAGCCCAGAGGTGCAGCCGCAGTTGTCAGGCAGCCAAATTTCAAACAAAGAAAGAAGCCACAGTGTCTGGCCACCCTGTGGCCCTCTAGAGATCACCCTCATGCACCCTGGTGTCAGGCTGCAGAGCACATTATCTGCAGACCTGAGAACTGGTTCTACAAAATCACTTTTCCCCTGAGCAAAGGGTCCTTCAATCAGGGCGTAGGGGAAAGTCAGCAATGATCCAAAGTCAATATTGCCATAAGGGCAAAACAACAAAAAAGCCATCCAGGTTCCTCCAGCCCACCCCACATCTTTGCCACACTGATGGCAACATTGGGCTGCGAGGGACAGCATGGAGATTTCACAGATTTGGAGCCCATTGCCCACCGCATTTCCCTACAGGGCTGGTCCCCTAAAACTGGCATGGCCAGAGCACAGGAGAGAAAACTGCCTACCAAGGGAACACAACCCAGCAAAGCTCTGAAAAGCCAGAAAAGCGTAAGAGAGTTAAAAACTTGTCATTTGGTGCCACCTACTGGAAAATAATACAATGACCTTTTCATATTAGTCTGTGAGAAAACTGCCTCTCACACATGGATACCTAGACAGGGAAGGAATTCATCAAATACTATGAATAACCAAGACAGCAAGAAAAAAAAAAAAAAGGAAATCTTAGAAAATATTGTTTTCTGCCGAGACCGGTTTGGCTCAATGGCTAGAGCGTCGGCTTGGGGACTGAAGGGTCCCGGGTTCGATTCCGGTCAAGGGCATGTACCTTGGTTGCGGGCATATCCCCAGTAGGGGGTGTGCAAGAGGCAGCTGGTCGATGACTCTCTCTCATCGATGTTTCTAACTCTCTTTCTCCCTTCCTCTCTGTACAAAATCAATAAAATATATTTAAAAAAAAAAGAAAAGAAAATACTGTTTTCTCTCCCTTATTCATGGGGTACATGCAGAACAATTTTTGTTGTTTTTGTTCACTCACTACCTGCTTTGCTCTGAGGGAACAGGATAAGATTCATCTAGTCTACACCTTGACCCTCCCAGAAGCTTTCCCCTGGCCCCTGGCCCTGTCACCTGACTATTCTGGGCCCCCTACTAGGTAAGAAGCCCATCCAGAGTCCCGAAGCTAGACTCTGGTAGAGTGGTAAAGCCAATATGTAAACTCAAGACAATTGCAAAGCCTGCTCTCCTACCTTTACCTGGTGTGATAAAAGAATGGAAGGAAAGAGCTCTCTACCAGATTAAAGTATCCTCCTCCCAGCCCATCAAAATTCTTCTTTTTTGTTTCAAATTATCTTCTCCCAGTCTCTGCTGAAAATATTTGCTCCTTGGTCCAGAGCCCTAATTACAGAACACAGTCTCTGCTCATGCATTTGTTACTGAATTCAAGGAGTTTGCCACTCAAGGTACTCTATCCAAGAACAAGATACAATTGTCACAAAATAGTTTTATTTTATTTGCAACAAGTAAAAGAGAGGGGGGATTTATCTCCAAAGCTCTGTCTCCTGAAGGGAGGCCTAGCCTTTAAAAATTAGCAAGAATGACATGGAGTAAGAACTGCCCAGGCATTGAAACCTTAGTCCTAGCTAACAATGGCCCCCTGAGATTTTTCACTCCTTGTCCTCGAGGGAATGGGGACAAGGGTTATACTTTTGTAACTGCTTCCTGCTGAACATGGATGCAGTGAGCACCTCTTTGAGTTGAAGAAGTGAAATTCTCTGCCTGCCTGACTTATTAAAGTCCCCTAGCTTCTGGGTTTCCTGAGAACAGGAGAGCATAACGAGAGCAGTACTTGCCCAGGCTGGTTTGGATCAGTGGATAGAGCATCAGCCTGCCGACTGACGGGTCCCAGGTTTCATTCCAGTCAAGGGCACATGCTAGTGTTGTGGGCTCAATCCCAGTAGGCAGCATGCATGAGGCAGCTCATCAATGATTATCATCATTTATGTTTCTATCTCTCTCTCCCTCTCCCTTCCTCTCTGAAATCAATAAAAATATTTTTTTAAAAAGAGAGAGAAAGCATTACCCTACCAGGAGATATGCTGTCGGAGATGAGGCAGAAGCAGGGGGAAAGAAAAGGAAACCGAGACCCTGCCACTCATAAACTCACACTCTGGTGGGGAATCTAATGAGTAAGGCGGACCAGAGTGACCGCCTCCCTAAGAACAAAGATGCCAGCAAGGGAGAGAAGAGGGAAGGTGCTGTCATATTTTAATCATCTTCCATATGATTCAGGACACCAAGCCATGATTTTTGTTCAGGAATCACTTATTGAGCTGCTGGGTCTATCCAGGACTTTGAAGGACAAGCAGGATCTGGGCAGGAAGTGACTCTGCAGAAAGGGGAAGGCCTGTGGATGGCAGTTCTACACTATATCGGGCCAGTGTCCATGGTTTCCCAAGCGCAGTGATGCTCGCCATGTGGCCTAGTGAAGAGCTGCCCCTGGCCTGGGAGGGAGAACAGCTTGCGAGGAAGTCCTCTGCATCCATTCTTTGGAAGCACTACCACCACCACCACCCACCTATGCCCGCTAACACCCCCTCTCCCATGACGGCAGGCGGCACTCCCAGGGAATACAAACTCTGTGTGTGTGTGTGTGTGTGTGTGTGTGTGTGTGTGTGTGTGTAGAAAGAGGATAAGGCCAAACATGAAGCCATGCTGATCTGGCCCCAACACAAGGCCCTCTGTGATCACACACATCCTGTTGAGCATCATCCCCTAGTTAACCAGCGGCACAGCTGCAGCTCAGAGAATACAGCCCTCCTAAAGATCAGGACACAGGGCAACACCGCCAGTCACTCTCTACCTCTTTGTCCCCAACTCACTGCCCAGTAGGCACTGGGATGAGCCGTGAGATGAGGTCTACATAACCCACAGTTCCTGTCATCCACAGGCTGCCTCCCCACCTCTGATCCCCAGTTTGGGAACATCAGGAGCTCAAGACTGAAAGTGGAGAAAAGAAACAGCTGTGGGCACAGGTTGTAATCAAACAGGAGAAGAAAGTAAGGAGAGTCAGTGATGCCAGGAGAGGCTGCTCACATGAGGCACTGCCTGCCTCACCTCTTCCCTCCGGGCCAGGCACTCACATTAGCAGAGTCACCCCTACTACAGTTACAGATCCCAGCTCCTCTCCGCCCTCTGCTTCTAGACTCTGAGAGAAGGTGGGCTGAGAAGGCATCCCAAGGCTGTCCCCTCCCCTTTCCTGGCCCCAGGCTGGAGGGGCCGTGAGAGGTGGAGGACAGACCCAGCATACCTGGTTTACCAGACTTGCTCACATGACAGGACTCAGACCCAATATGATAAAAAGGTTCTGTGTGGTATGGCCTCCCTGCACCTGTCTCTCTTCCTGCTCACTCCTCAGCAATGCAGTATTCTGTTCCTAAACGTCTGTAGTTGCCTCAGCCAATTCCACTGGCCTCAGGCTGCCAAAGCCATAGGGCTGAATGGGGGTCACTCCCCAAGGATAGGACAGTTTAGAAGTACCTCATCCTGCCTGTGGATGCAGAGAGCAAGTTCTCTCACCTCAACCTGCCCCACCCCAGCCACCCCACAGCTTTGAAAAGGGAAAGCTAATGGGCTGCTGCTCAGAAAAGAAGCTGAGGTCTTGAGCCTTCTGGACTTGACTGGGCTCTGACAGGGAATGCATGACTGTGCATTTGCCCAGTCAGTGATCTCAAAATCATCCTGCAAATGAATGGATATGAGACCAGTAAGTTACTTCTTAAGACCACACTCAAATTTTACTAAACACAGTTCACTTCCCTGTGTCATTTCCACCTTCCTCCCATACTTTGTCGCTAGGAAGCCCAGCCTTTTGGCTTTTATTACTCAAAATACATGTACGTGGTTTATTCTACCTGCTTCATTTTGCAAGTCCAGTACATTTACATATAAGACAAACAAGGTCACGCAAAAAACAAAATCCAACTTCTGCAGGACCATCAGACAACCAGACCAGAGATTGACCTGAGAATGTCACTTGAGGATGTCTTGGACTGCTCCACAAGCATTCCTTGACTCCCCAGTTAGACTGAGGTTGGGCTCTGAATCTGTCTTCTCAGAGACAGTTCCTGCCCAACCAACCAGAAACCAAGCATGAGCCAAAACTTAAATTACCTCTCCAACAACACAATACCCAAAATGAGATATGCTAATTAAAGCAACCCCTGGGGCTGACCTACCCACCTCCCTCCTGCTAGTCAAGTGCTGAGTGAAACAGGCTCAGGTGGCCACTAGGCTTCCAGATGAGGCAGGCCAGGAAGCCATTCTGGTGGTCAACACCAAGCGGGGGTCCCCCACAGAACAGGTCCTGGGTCCAGCGGAGACCCAGGCACCTGCCAGCTGCTTTGCCAAGCATCCACAAAGGAGAGGGAGTCCTTTTAAGAGGCCCATCTGAAGTCACCAAATTTGTTACCAAACTCAAGTTCACCTCTTGGGGTACTCTGTTCAAGATCCAGCCACGGTTGTCAATGTTGTGGGGTCGAATCCTGGGTTCAAAATAAGACCACCGGAGGCTGATAATTTATTTAAAAAGCAAACAAGGATTTATTGAACTGGCCAGGGCAAGCCGCAGGAGTACCGCACGCAGGCGGACCCTACATGACCGTGAGGGTTTAGGGGCAGGTAGTTATTTTTAAAGGTTCTGAGAAGGAAAACCCCCATTCTACAACAAACTGTTGTTTGAAATTTTCTGCTGTTCTTCCTAGATAAAATGTTGCTTTCTAGTTTGCTTTAGCCCGTTTGAAGAATGATGAAGATAAACTTAGCTGTCTGACCTTACAGGCCAGAGACCAGATACGCCCACAATCTCAATACCATGCCAGGTGCATTCTTTTAATTGGACAGAACAGCATTGTTTTCGAGGCCAGCATCGAGATAACCACTAAGTGTACATAGGGCTGGCTCTTTAATGAAAAAGAAAGTTCTGCCTGTAACCTTGCCCAGAACTTGAACTCATCCTCCCTAAGCCCATTGTGCGATGAACAAAGCAAGTAAGTGAAGGTCGAAGTCAGAATAGTAGGGTTAAAATTCAAACAGTAGTTTTTACCCAAGCATGATTGCTACCATATTTCAGTCACAAGGTAGTTTTATTTACTTGCAGAAGTAAAGGAGACAGTGGATTCATCTCCAAAGTGCAACGGGAGGCTTAGCCTTTTATATTTAGTAAGAATAACATTTAGCAAAACTGCCCAGACCTTAAGATCCTTGCCCTATCTAACACAGCACTCAATACATAACCCCTAAATGCCTAAAGCTTTATCAATCACCTTCTCCCCAACACTTTGTTCCCTTCCACCATCCCCGGCAAAAATCTTTTATTTCTCAGCAGACAGCTTCACCAGGTTGTCCATTCCCCCTGGCTCTAGGCTGAAGACAAGTCCCCACCTCTGGCAGCGGCCTGGCTCCCCCAGAACTACATTTCCCACAGTGCTCTGGAAAAGTTAGCGGCGGAGGCCCAGGGCCTGGAGGGCTAGTTTACGCAGAGCCTCCTGGGAGTTGTAGTCTGGCTTGTTCGCAGGCGCGCTGCTGTGGACCGGCGCTGGCCTTTGTCTGTCCGTGGGCTTGCACGGCTGTGGTGAGTGAGGCTGCTAGCAGGTCATGGCACCCAGGTGAGCCAGGGCCAAGCTAGCAGGCGGTCCCCGGGGCCCTCTGCTGCCCCGACGTCCCTCAGCAGGGCAGGCCTGCCCTGCTGCAAAGGCCGGCCGCAAGGGGAGAAGTCTGCAGCTGCAGAGAAGTCTGCCGCTGGACCAGAGGTGGGGTTGAGGGTCTGCACGCAGGGCATGCATGGGGGTGCTGAGGAGGGAGGATCTGCCCCTAGGAGCAGGGGTCCCTCCGACCACCGCTGTGCAGGGCAGGGCGTGTGGAAGGCCCCTCACCCTGGAGTCGAGGGAGGAGGCCGTGATAGACAGGTGTCCCCCGGCCTGCGGGGAGGGTTCAGAAGATGGACAGAAAACTTGCAGTCTCTCAAGGGGGGGCGGGGGGGGTGGCGGCAGATGGGAGAAAGGACAAAGTGGATTCGGTCGTGCGGAGAAAATAATCACCCCCACCCAGAATCTCTAATGCTGAAACTACGTCCCAGGAGGTCCCAGAGACGCAAAGTCACCCCCTCTTCTCATCCTGTTCTTGAGGGCTGTCAACTTTAGGCCTTAAGTAATAGGTATGGTCACATTTGGTTCTTTTATTCTCCCAGGAATTACCTGATATGACTGTTATTAACCTATTTAATAAGTGAGGAAATAGAGTCAGGATTGTTTGGTTACTTGCCCAACGTTACATGAGGGAGTGGGGAGTCAAGGCAGAAATCCCAGTCTCTCATGGCCTAGTTCTGAACTTTTCCAAAGGATCAGGAGCCATTCTGCTTGGAAAAGCAGTATTTTCTATGACAAAGCCATTTTCTCCAAATTCTGCAGGAAATTAACTCCTCAGACATGTGATGTTGGGAGAAAAATAAGAATTTCCTTTTGCCAGACCAGTTTGGCTCAGCGGATAGAGTGTCGGCCTGCGGACTGAAGGGTCTGGGGTTCGATTCCAGACAAGGGGACGTACCTTGGTTGTCGGCACATCCCCGGTAGGCAGCTGATCGATGATTCTCTCTCATCGATGTTTCTAACTCTCTATCCCTCTCTCTTCATCTCTGTGAAAAATCAATAAAATATATTTTTTTTAAAAAGAATTTCCTTTTATTAATCAAGGAAGTTCCTGGGATGCAGCTGAGTTTATTACTTGTTGAAGAGCTCACAGTATGTGAAGAGGCAGAGCTGTAGATTCTACTCCATTTGCTGGATTCCACAGGGACAGAGTCCAACCTCAGGCAGAAGGTGCCAGGAACTTTCCATTGACTCTTGGTGAATGTGCAGTGATTGAGCAGTAACACCTTAAACTTCCAAAATTAATGACCAGTCGTGTCCTGACACTCTGATCGGGGGTTCCTTTACAGCTTGTATTCCCAGTTGGAGATGAGTCCTCCAATAAGAGTTTAAAATGCTCTTCAGTCACCATAACAGGTTGCAGAATGTGCAGTTGACAGGAAGACCACGTGCTTCAGTTAACAAAGGAAAGAACTGCAGCATCACACTTCCGTCTCATTAAATCAGGCGGCCAGCATTTTGATAAGACTTACTGGAGAGAAACAAAGATTATACACCAAAACCACTGTATAAAGTGTAAGAATGTGGTGATCAGGATCCTGAAGTAAGAAAAGGATATTCCAAAGGGGAAAAAATAGAAAAAGATAATATGGGGCAAGAGAATACCTAGGATCTAGATGAGTAGTAAAGTCTGGCTAAGCCCTGTTCCATTCTGTTCCATGTTATAAAAATTCCTACCAGCTCTTTAATGATGAGGAACTAGAGAACTGTCTAGTCTAAAGGCATAGGCTTTGGATCCTGAAAATCTTGGATTTGAATTTCTTCCACCTTGACTCCTTACTGGCTCTGAGAATTTTGGCAAGTTACTCACCCTAGTTGGATGCCTTGGGCTAGGTTTTGGAATCCAAGTAGGTCTTCTTTTTCCAAGTACTGACAAGTACTTACACTTCCCTCAGAACTGGTATTCTCATATCTTGAAGAGTAGAAGAGGAAAAGGTCTGGATCTGGATCCTCCTAAGAATTGTTTAAAGGTTAACATGAAATATCTTATTCTGTCCTCATAACTTAGGGGAACTGGAGAGGAGGACCACAGCCATTTCTATCTAGAGCCAATTATGAAGTCTGAATATTGAGTTTTTTTTAATATTCTGAGGCTATACAAATAGCAGATGGTTAGATGGGGGAAGGAATTAGAAGATTCTAATCACATACCACGGTTAAGGAACAAACAGGAGTGCCCATTATCTTAGAATTGGCAGGAGGAGAGAGATGTGTGTTGACATGTTCCTTTTCCACCTTCTGCCCCCTGGGCTCATTTGTGTGTGATCATGTGCCTTTAAGACCATGTTGCTGTTACATTAAAGGTGACTAACATTATATCAGTTCATCCTGAGTTCTCCATTTATTCATACCCCAAACTGGAGCTCCTGTTGACTTGAATCTTTTCACTCATCAATTCTCCTGCCTTCTCCTGTTTTTGTTCTATTTTGTTTTTGTTTCTTTGGTGGTTTTCCTCCTCAGATGCTCAAGAACAGCCTATGGAAGCAGCACATGAAGAGGTGGTGATTAAGGTCATACGGCAGGAGTGGACATGTTTGGATTTCCAACAGCTACCCTGCTGGACTGTCATGGACGATATGCCCAGAATGTAGCATTCTTCAGTGAGTGAGCCAGTTGATCTCTGGGATGCCCTCAACTCACCGCATGGAGTGTCCCTGTCCTCAGCACTGGTTGGCAGGCTGAGAAGCAGAGGAGACTTTCCTGTGGTGGAGCTCACCATTTCTGGGAGTTACAGGAAAAGCCTGCAAGTTAGAGTGAGAAATAACAATGGAAACAGCAGAAAACAATCCTGATATGGAGGTAAACTTGAGGTAGTTTCTCAGAAAATGAATGAGCAGCTTTAAATTTCAGTGCAGCCACTGAGTAAGGAAGGGTAAGGCAGAGGAACAATGAGAAAATCTCCCTAGGATGACTCCAAGAAAACTGTTAATCCAGGGTAGTGATAAATTGGACCCATATTTAAAGGGCAACATTGGAAAATACTGTCAACAGCTGCATAGGAAGTGTTTGAGAATAACTGCTAAACCAAAATTGATCTCAATTCCACCACAGCTTAGTAGATTGAAGTAGCATAAATTTTAAAGGGAAAAATTCCTTGAATCAGAAAGTCTAGTTGTTCTGGCTCTAGATGCAGTATCAGACAAATTATTTAACTTCCTTGAACTGCAGGGTCATTGTCAATGAAATAGGACAACAGCTCTACCCTGCAGGGTTGCAAGAATTAGAGACAACAAGTGTAAAGTACCAAGGATTCTACCCTGCCGGTGTAGCTCAAAGATTGAGAGAGAGCCAGGAACCAAAAGGCTACCAGTTCCATTCCCCACCAGGACATATGCTTGAGCTGTGGGCTTGATACCCTGGGGGGGGGGGGGGGGGGGGGCAGGAGGCAGCCGAATGATGATGTTTCTCTCTCATCCATGTTTCTATCTCTCTATCCCTCTTCCCCCCCCCCTCTCTCTCTCTCTCTCTCTCTCTCTATATATATATATATATATATATATATATACAATATATATATATATATATTTTTTTTTTTTTTTTTTAAGTACGAATTATTCTACTACATATTTTCTGATGTCATGGAGTTTACTCAACTGTCAGGAAAGCAGACTAGTGCAGAAGTGGGTTTTTCATGAAGCTAATGAAATCTAAGTTTCAGGATTCCTCTCTTGCAGGGTCTCTTCAAGGCCCTGTTCCCACTTTTACACTTTTTCCTAATGAAGTGCCTCCAACATTTTAAAGCTTTAGGCCCTGCCCAACCTGGCTCCTCACCTGTTTGAAGTCAGATAAAATTTGGATATGGGGTTCTGTGTGATCCTGTATAGTTCTCCTGAGTCTGGAGATGTTTATATTTACCCCACAAGATTATTTGGGAGGCTATATTGAACAAAACACAGAGGCAGTGGAGTAGGCTTGTGTTTGAATCTCAGCTCTATGCTAACCTAAATGCATAACCTTTGACAACCTCTCTATGCTTTCATTTCCTTGTGTGTAGCATCCCATAGGATTGTTCTCAGTGTTAAATTATCTATGCAACGTTCACTGTGTAATGTCTGGCACATAATAAGCACTCAACAGAGCACTGTTTTTTGTTTTTTTTTTCCCTATTCTTCTCACTCAGCATATTAGTGCATCTTATCTGGCTTCCCTCTCATTTTACCAGATGTGATGACAGAAGCCCACCACAAATATGATCACACCGAGGCCACAGGATCCTCAAGCTGGGACTTCCAGAGTTCTTTCAGAAGAGAGAAGCTGGAACAAAAATCCCCAGATTTTAAGGCACTACAGGAAGATTCACCTGGTGTGAGACAGAGGGTCTATGAGTGCCAGGAATGTGGAAAATCCTTCCGGCAAAAGGGTAGCCTAACGTTACATGAGAGAATCCACACTGGTCAAAAGCCCTTTGAGTGTACCCATTGTGGAAAAAGCTTCAGGGCCAAAGGCAATCTTGTCACACACCAGCGAATACACACAGGAGAGAAGCCTTATCAGTGCAAGGAGTGTGGAAAAAGTTTTAGTCAGCGAGGTAGTCTGGCTGTTCATGAAAGACTCCACACTGGACAGAAGCCCTACGAGTGTGCAATTTGTCAGAGGAGTTTCAGGAATCAGAGTAACCTTGCTGTTCATAGAAGAGTTCACAGTGGCGAGAAGCCTTATAGATGTGATCAGTGTGGAAAAGCCTTCAGTCAGAAAGGAAGCTTGATTGTCCACATCAGGGTCCACACAGGCCTGAAACCATATGCCTGTGTACAGTGCAGAAAGAGCTTCCATACCAGAGGAAATTGCATCCTTCATGGCAAAATCCACACAGGAGAGACACCATATCTATGTGGCCAGTGTGGGAAAAGCTTCACTCAGAGAGGGAGTCTGGCTGTGCACCAGCGAAGCTGCTCACAAAGACTCACCCTTTGACCACATTCTTCAACAAGAATTCTCTTTAATTAACTATAAAATCTGAGATCAAGCCACCTACCCAGTTCTATGGAGTGAATGGAGACTCTTTCAGAAAGACTATCATTAGGTAGGGCAAACTGACTTTTCCCATTTCTTCCAAATGAATATGAAAAATAAATGTCTTGTTTATTATCATTATCATGTTTGTTTCATAGTTTCTGTCCATTTCTTTTGTCCTAATTTCTCAAGGTACTTCCATTAACGTAGTGCACACTTGGAGATTGTTCTGTGTGTGGCAGATACAGATTTCAAGTTTTTAGTTTATACCATCAGCCTTGGGGGGGGGGGGGCGGGCGGGGGAGGAGGAACACAGCCTCCTGCCAATCCCAAGGTTCTTTTCTTCCTGTATAATCAAATTGATCTTGCTTTGCTCCATTTCTCCCAAGTCCTCCCTCCTATAACTAAAAAATCCTGGAAAGAGTTGTGACTGCTGAATGGCACATGACTGATTCCTTCGTTTCCTCAAAGTCTTTTTTTTTTTTTTAAATATATTTTATTGATTTTTTTACAGAGAGGAAGGGAGAGGGATAGAGAGTTAGAAACATCGATGAGAGAGAAACATCGATCAGCTGCCTCTTGCAACACCCCCTACTGGGGATGTGCCCGCAACCAAGGTACATACCTGTTCCAACTCACCCTCAGGTGGGAACTGCTGAGGTGACTGGGTCCCTCAGCCAGAGAACTGGACTTATACAGGTTGCCCACAGTACTTTACTAAAATTGACCGAGCATAAACTAAACACAGACACAAGAGTTAAAATGCATGAATCCCAAGGTTTATTTACCAGAGTCCTGGTGGTTTCCAGAAGCCTAAGCAGGTCACCTGGAGATCCGGGCCGACAGACACACACACTGGAATACAATTCACACTCCAACTATAAATCACTCATAAAAGTAAATGCTTTCATTCCTATTTTAAATGACACAAGTAATTATTCTTACACTGTTTTAAATCCTTAAATCATCACTCTAATATAACAATGCCCTTGACCAGAATCGAACCTGGGACCTTTCAGTCCGCAGGCCGACGCTCTATCCACTGAGCCAAACCGGTTTCGGCTTCCTCAAAGTCTTGACTCCAAAAGTTCCTATTTAAAATCGCACTGCCGTTCCTCAGTCCCCGACTCAGCTCTACTTTCTCCGTAACACACACCACCTTATCACACACTCTACCGTTCTTTATCAAAATTACGTATCGCTTGTTTCCTCCACTATTTAACATCCAGAGTGATTTTCTTTAAGCGTCTTTAAAAGTTCCTAGAACACGTACGGCCTCAGATGTTTACTAAACTAATAAACTTCAAGAGGCAGATGAAGATGCCGAATGGCATATATTCAGTTCAGAATATTTTTACAGGTAAAGACGAAATTACGGGTGATATTCACGTTCTTTTCCTCTAGCACATTAACAAAATGTGAAAAACACTTTAATGGATATTCCTATGATAATTCTTACACGTTTGTAATTCTAAAATAATAATAACGTGAATGAACGCTCAAACAATAGTTAAAAATCAGTCTGCTGGGAGCAGGAACCTAGGCACCTCCACGCAACGCCGGGGAAGCCGAGGGAGCAGGGGACGGCACCGGAGTACACACCGGAAGTGCCGTGGCCTGCCCGCGGCTTTCTGGGACTTGTAGTTCAGAGCCCTCCGCGGGCGGAGACGCCGCTGCCAGGCACTGGATTCACGTGGGAGGTGAGCGGCGGGTAGCAGCTGGCAGCTGGCAGCTGGCACCTCCTGCAGAGAGGCGGGGGAGGGGGGAACCCGCGGGGAGGCTGGCTGTTGTGGGAGGGCGCGCGACCCGGGAGGTGCGGTCCGAGGCGCACGAGCGACCGGGCGCTGCGACGCCGCAGCGGCTCCGAGGGGCCCTCTCGCCGGCGCTCCGGGGGGCTCCGTAGTTGGCCTTTTCTGCCCGGTGGCTGGCCTTCTTTCAAGGAGGTTTTAAGTGGGCGTTAAGCAATCGAGAGGGGCTCCCGTGAGGGGCGAGGTTTCTGTCCCCACAAACAGTGTCCTCATTAAAGGGTTGCATCCGAGCCCTGCACCCCCAAAAATGAGTCAGGTGGAGGAAGGCGGCGCGGGCATCCAAAATTCATCACGAGAGATGATACATCCAACCCGAGAGCTCCTACTGCTCCAACTAGAACTTGAGAGCCGAAAATGGACACATCCTGGAGCTGCTAGGGGCAGCAGGATGTGCCTCGGGGAAGGAGCAGGCTTGGTCTGTTTGACCCAAAGCCAGTGGGGAGAGGCGAGGGGAACCGCGTGGGGAGACAGGAGAGGGTTTCCTACAGTAGCGGGAGCTGGGGGACTTGATAGTCATGGCTGTTTATTTATTTGCAAGCTCCAGCCTCCAAGGACTCCGTGCTGCGAGGAGGGAATGGCCAAGTTCCAGGTGCGTTGGGTTTCTTCTCCGGAAATGCTGTCTCCCTGAGAAGGTAAGTATAATAACTTTGTTTTCTTGGGACCCAGGAAGGACATCAGCATTGAGTGCCTCTGATGTCAAGTCCTGCCTTTGTTCTGTGTGTCATTTTTCCCTTTATTGTTGGACTCCGGTGTGAGACTTGGTATTTTATAAATACGGGTGCAGCAACATTGATATCCTAAGGGCATATACTAAGGCATCCAGCCCTCAGTTGCTGCACTGGTCTCTGCTGCCTGTACATTACACATCAGTTTTCACTGAGCTACACTCTTCCGGAACTTGGCTCACTCCCCAGAGCGCTGGGCTCTGCTCTTGTATTGAAAGACTCCACACAGCATCTTTGCTTGGGCGTCTCTGTTAAAGCCTGCCTTTTCCTGAGTGTAGACATTTCATTCCTGTTGAGTCTTTCAAAGCTATTACATGTCAGTCCTTTGCTAAGTGGTCCCAGGAAAACCCACTCACTCCCCGAAATGCTCGTCAATCAGGCTGTGTATTAGAAGTGTATTTGTAGAGTTTTTTAAGAGTTAAGGTTCCTAGGTACCACCACTCCCAGACCTACTAAAAAGAGAATTTCTCTTTTCTATCCCCTCGATCTTTGTATGTCCATTAATTTGTGTCATTTATTGTCAGTCATTTCTCTACTTGCTCGATGTGAGCATCTCTAAGATAGGTAAAAGGTCGTCCATCTTTTATGCTCTGATTACTTTGTTCCACCAACATATCAACATGTTTAAGTGGTATAATAAATTGTTAAATTACCAATTAGCACTTTTTAAAAAATCGATTTTTCATTTGTCTTCATAAAATCATTTCTAGAAAGTTACTTCAAGATTGGCACTTAGAATCACAGAATGTTTTCAATGGAAGGGGTCAGCCAGCCCCTCTCTGCCCTGGTGCCATCACTCAACTGAGAAGACTCTAATTCTGAGGGAGCTAGAAGGGAGCATCATTTCCTTGTTGCAGGGAGCAGCATAGCAGGGAGTAAGCCCCATGCTTTCCAACATCATGCTGTTTCTTCACTATAACTGAACAGGTCATGACACCAGAAATTCTATGAACAAAAGTAACCAAGACCATCTTTTTGTTTAGCAAATCCAGTCCTCACATACATAGGAAGTGACCATGAACTCTTGTAAAAATTGGTTTGGCCCAACTGGTGTGGCTCAGTGTTTAAGCATTGGCCTAAGAACGAGGAGGTCGGGGTTTGATTCCCGGTCAAGTCACATGCCTGGGTTGCAGGCTAGATTTCCAGTGAGGGGCCTGCTGGTCAATTATTATCTCTCATCATTGATATTTCTATTTTCTGAATCTCTCTCCCTTCCTCTCTGAAATTAATTTTTAAAATTTTTTAATTGGTTTGTTTAAAGGACAGTAAATGGCCTCAAGGTACTGAGAGCATGCCATCACTGTGCCTTATGAAGTGATTGACTCCAAGGGAGATGAGATGAGCAGTAAGACCCAGTGCTCTGTATTGTCCTTCCTTCTCTTTTCTCTCTTTCCAAGTGAAGACTATTTTCTCACTGCTGATGGAATTGTGGATTGCTAGTGTATAAATTTTGAGGTTCTGATATATATTAATAACTGAATTTAAAGAAGGGACTTCATCCACCAATGCCTGCTGGATGTTTTTCTTTACCAGGCATTGTCCTGAGTGCTGAAAGTGGCAGTTGCAATTAACCACCCCTTCCTCTGTAACTTGGGTAAGTCACTTCACCATTATGAACCTTAATTTTCTCATCTGCAAATGAGGGTTGAATTTGATGAGCTCACAGTTTACTTGTAGCATTTGATTATTCTTTTAAATCGAATGCAAATTTATAAATACCACTTAGATTCTGAGTTCATTGTGCTAGTTATTGAGAATTGAAAGATTAGTTGAGCATGGCTCCTATCCTTTAAAATCTTATAGCCAATTTGGAAGAGAGACTTAATAGCTATAGTAGATGTACATGTGAGATGTTGGAGGAGGACGCATGTAACTCATCCTCATGCTGCAGAAAGGAGGTGGTTGATGGTCCTGAAACTGAAAGTAGTTCCTAAATGGATGAGAGAAACAGAAGTCAAAGCAGAAGCAACGTGTACAGGGCTGTTCTAGTCCAGAATATGACGTTTAGATGACAGGTAATCCGGTCTGACTATAGCTCCTGGCCACCTGCATTACTGTTTCCTGTCCCCTCCAAAGTAAAATGTTGGACCAGCAAGGAAGGGCTCTGGAAAGAAAGTAAAAAGCCGTATGATGTATGTAGTTTGGGGAAGTTAGGCTTTTGTGGTGGGAGGTGGGGTGGTGGGAGGGACAGGAGACTACTAGTCCTGGGACCTTCCACCTTGGTTAGCCCTCAGGATCCTGAGTCCACTTTCCCAGAGAAAGCACGAGGTCCACCTGGGGTGACCATACCCTCCACTGATACCGGGGAGACTATTCACTATTCAGGGTCTTTTAGTCCCAACTTTGTCTTCTTTAGCAGGACCACTGTTTTCTTTGATTCCTTTCATTTGGTCCACTGTCATACCATTCCTCATCTTCGAATTTTCAACCTACTCCAAAGTTTATACTCTACCAGCATATCCTTTTCATTCTCAGCAAAAAACTCTCTCCACCACTTGGTGGGATTTTAAAAAATTACTAAATCTGCTGAAACCGGTTTGGCTCAATGGATAGAGTGTCGGCCTGCAGGCTGGAGGGTCCCAGGTTTGATTTTGGTCGAGGGCATGTACCTTGGTTGCAGACACATCCCCAGTGGGGGATGATTCTCTCTCATCAATGTTTCTAGCTCTCTATCCCTCTCTCTTTCTCTCTGTAAAAAAACAATAAAGTATTTATTTTTAAGAATCTTTAAAAAAAATTACTAAATCTGACTATCTAATCTATGAATTGAAAAATGGCAGAACTTGTATTTGAAGACTTCCTAAGGAATTCTTGTGGTCTGGGTAAGAAATGAAGGCCTTACCCAGGACAGTGGCAGTGGGACTACAGAATAGGTAACATATTGGATGGAGATTTGGGGGACAGCATTGACAAGATGTGAAGTTACCTGAATATTGTTGAGGTAGAGAGGGTGTCTTAGACAATGGGGTGGAAAATGAATAAAATATAAAAGAGAAAAAGGTAACTGTAGGACTTGAATCTCAGAAGGGAAGAGAGTATTTGATCTGAAATGCATAGGAAGTTAACGTTGGACAGAAAGAAACCTTTTTCTCTTGAGGTCAAGAAGTCTGGTGGAAAAAGTGGCCAGTCCACCTTCTTGATACTCACCTGGCCCTCTTGAAGAAAGGGTGCATTTATGTCCCTCTTGGGCAACACCTCCACTTCCATTTCTTCTTTGCCCCACCTTTTGTGCAGGGACTTGCAGGCTGCTCTAGCCCAACCTTATCCCTCTTCTTCAGACACAGTGGAGACCTGTGACCTGGAGGACAAACTGCCATTGGCCTCACTATCACTTTCTGCACTGGTGACTAGTAGTGAAGTCATTCCTGGGGGATAGGAAGAAGGGCTGGTTGTCCTCAATTTCCTGAGGAAGGAGTAGGTGGTGCCCCTTCAGCCTCAGTCCTAACATGTGACCTCTTCTGAAGGTTACTGGGCATTCCCCTCGCTCAGAGTTGAGTTGCTCCTTTGGGCTTCAGTTGGCTCAGTTGTTTTGTGTCTATTCTGTCCTCTGCTTTTCAGCATGTGGCCTGTAGACTGCTGGCAGCCCAGTTTGTTACTGGTATACAAAGATATATAAGTGTTGCTGGTGGAAACAGGATTCTTTCATGGAGTCACAAGAAATGCATTTCAGGGACCCATGCATGGGAGGACTTGAGCATAGTGTCACATTTATTGGAGAGAAACAAAGGACTGCCCCCAGCTGTCTGCTGTCTTATTCACAGCCAGGTGGTCACATCCATCTCCCTGCAAAAGAAGCCCTGGGCCTGGTGAGCACAAGTGCCCACCAGGAGGGCTCACCCCAGAACTGCAGTGCATCACCCTGGGCTCCAAGTAGCCCAGCACAGTCGTTGTTCCCGGCTGCACCTGCCTGTGCCTCATGTCCCCATCTGCACACCTGCCGCCAATGCTCAGTGGTGCAAGGCCACCACCCAGTACTGAGTTCACTGCAGCTGCTGAAAGGGGAGAGAGCACTGGCTTTTGTTAAGCTTCCCCTTGGGTTTGGGAGAGAATAAGCTTTCTTTCAAACTAAACAATCATCCTCCCAATTCTTCACGGGCGTTGCTGGGCCCTCCCCTAACCAATCCCTTTCCTGGATCTTCTGGGGTTCCATGCCCTTATTCTATCTGATCTTTCTCCCAGACTAGACACCTCCCCTTTACGTTTGCCGTGTTGGCTCCTACTGCACATGCATCAAAGAGGAAGACCTCCCCCTGGGCCATCTTAGCTTCTGCACCTGCCTCAGCAGAGGAATTTCCCTTTTACTGTTCTCCCTGCCCCTGATAATCTGGGGGTGCCCCTGACTGTTTGCTGGGGAGATTGGAGGACCAGTCCTTCCTCCCTATGCAGGGGGAGGAAGGGATGTTTTTGTTTTTTGTGGGGGTTTTTTTTGTGTGTGTGTGTTTGTTTGTTTGTGTTTTGTTTTGTTTTTTGTGGGGGGTTTTTTTGAGGAAGGGATGTTAATCCCCTTGGGGGGCAATGCAACTATCCCTTGGAGTGTCTGGAACCTGTAGCTCCCTAGTCAATCAGAATCAGCCAGTTTAGCTCCCTTCCCTTTGTCAGTAACTGACTAGCTGCCTACCCTGACATAAGAACAGAGGTTGAGTGTTTGAAACCTTTATAAACTATCAGTCTGTGACCCATGAGAAACTTGCCAGAGGCGGTTTGAAAATGTTGGTCCCGTAAAGAAATCCTGAGGAGCTAGATTCACTGTGAAGTTAGCTCCTCGTAGGTGCCAAGCCCCCATGAGGCCTTGAGAAACTGGAGAGTAAGAAAATGAGATAAAGCATAAGTAATGCAAAGAAATTAATGCAGAGTGAAGTGAATGTTTGGGGCCAAATCTGGTATTTTTTATATAGACATCTTTGCCACAAGCATTTTATGCACAGTTTATGTTCAGTCTCTTCCCACATCCCCATCTCCCCTTTTCCCCGAGAATCGTCAGTTCACTTCCCTTCCATACCTCTGATTCTATTATATTCAACAGTTAATATTGTTCATCAAATTTTTTTTTAATTCCCTTGGTTTTTAGATTCACTTGTTGATGGTTACATATTTGTTGTTCATAATTTTTATCTTTATTTACTTTCTCTTCCAAAAGAACCCCCTTCAGCAATTCATATAATTCTGGTTTGGTGTTGATGAACTCCTTTAGCTTTTTTTTTATTAGTGAAGCTCTTTATCTGGCCTTCGATTCTGAGTGATAGCTTTGCTGGGTAGATTATTTTTGGCTGTAGATTCTTGCTATTCATCACCTTCAATATTTCTTGCCATTCCCTTCTGGCCTGCATGGTTTCTGTTGAGAAATCAGCTGACAATCGTATGGGTGCTCCTTTATAGGTCACTACCTGCTTTTCTCTTGCTGCTTTTAATATTCTCTCTTTGTCTTTTGCTCTTGGAATTTTAATTATGATGTGTCTTGGTGTGGTCTTCTTTGGATTCCTTTTGTTTGGGGTTCTGTGCGCTTCCTGGACTGGCAAGTCTAATTCTTTCACCAGGTGGGGGAAGTTTGTCACTATTTCTTTCAGTATGTTTTTGATATCTTGCTCTCTCTCATCTTCTGGGACCCCCATAATTCTGATGTTGGTTTGCTTGAAGTTGTCCCAGAGGTTTCTTACATTACCTTCAACTTTCTGGATTCTCTTGCCTTCTAGCTTCTGCGGAGGAGTGTCTTCTGGCTCTTTATGTTCCAAATGTTTGACTTGATTTTTGTGATCTTCCATTCTGTTTTTAGGGCTCTGTATAATATTTTTTATTTCAGCCAATGTATTCTTTATTTCTCTTGATCCCTTATTAGTTTTTGTTGATCCCTTTTCATCTCCTCATAGGCCTTATCGACCTTATCTAGGAAATTCTTAAAAAACCTTATAAGCGTGATTTTGAACTCTATATCCAGTCTCTTTTCCTCCATTTCTTTTGTTTGTGATCTATTTCCTTGTCTCAGCATTTTCACAGCTTTCCTGAGTTGGTAGGGTGGCTTTATGTGCTAAGGTGTCCTATATGGTTCAGCGAGTCAGCCTCCCAGTTACCTGAGGTGGACAGTGTTGGTGTAGCCCTTTTGGGCTGTGTGTGCAGTCTTGTTGTTAAGCCTTGCTTGTTGTTGGTATCACTGGGAAGCGTTGACCTCCACGCCAATTGGCTATGAGGATCAGAAGTGTCTCAGCTAGGAGGGTGTCTGTATTCCGCTTGAATGGGGCGGAGTCTCAGGGTGGCACAGACAAGCTTTGTTGAATCCCGCACAATTGGTTGCAGACAAGCTTTAGATTCCTGTCTGCCCCTCCCTAGGAGGGTCCTATTGGCAGTGAACGAGGAAGCTAGCCACTGGAAGGGCTTCTGTGCTCCGCTTGGATGGGGCGGGGTCTCGGGTGGTGCAGACAAGCTTTATTCAGCCCCTCCCTACAAGGATCTGGTTTCTGAGTCCCGCAATAATGGCCTCTGGCTTCACACACCTCCGAGAGATCTCTGCCCACTGCCTGACAGTCTGGCCTCTCCCTGTCTGGGGTCATCTATCAGCGCAATAGGCTGGTTCTATTTTCCTCCCGAACAAGAAAGCCAGCCACGCTTTAGCTGTCCGCCCTCTCCTCGCGCAGGGAGTAAGCTGGTAGCGAATTTGTCCCACTCTCTCTGCACTCCGCAAGCAAGCCGGCAGCGAACTCTGTAGCCGCCTTTTCACGCGCACAGTTCTCCGCACCTTCACAGTTCCTGAGGTTCAGTGTGCCTTCTTTCTCCTTCCCAGATGGTAGAGCCTCCTTTCAGCCAGCCGTCCGGCGCTTCAAGGTGATGTTTCCCCTGTTTTCCAGTTCTAAATTCAAATTTGTTGTGGTAGGCTGCATTCGGGTGTCTACCCTATGCTGCCATCTTGGTTTCTCCTCTAAAATCAATTTTAAAAAATAAGAAATAAACCTTTGGGGCCGGTCATTGTCAGCGGGAAGAAATGCTCACTGCTTTCAGAGACCGCCACATCTACTTGTCACTGTCCAGACCATTTTGAGGACTAGCTCAGATTCACATATAATGCAAAATGGGAGTAATTGAGAATTTTGTCGATTAAGAAATGAAACCAAACTGACTACTTGCTTAAATACATTAAGTCTTCTGAATGTTGTTGATTTTTTGTGGAGAAGTGAAAACAAACAAAAAACAGTTAACCAGTTTTTTTATCTTTTCTATAGCAGTTGATTGATTTATCAACAGAGAAATGAAATCAAATAAACCAAAAAAATTGAACTGTGAACCAATTTTGTTTTGGTTTGTGTGTTTTTTTAATACATTTTTATTGATTCTTTACAGAGGAAGGGAGAGGGATAGAGAGTTAGAAACATAGATGAGAGAGAAACATCGATCAGCTGACTCCTGCATACCCCCTACTGGGGATCATGCCAGCAACCAAGCTACATGCCCTTGACCAGATTTGAACCTAGGACCCTTCAGTCCACAGGCCCATGCTCTATCCACTGAGTCAAACGGGGTAGTGCTATTGTGCTTTTATAGCAGAATTGCCTTACAGCCAGTGAGTTAGCAGGGATAATGTTTGCAGTAAAAATGCTTGTGGCAAAGATGCTATGGCAAAACTACCTAGAACAGGTGTTTTTTGTTTGTTGTTTTGTGCTACTGTGGATTATGGTCAAGGAAATGCTTCTCAGAGGAGATGGCAGTCCAGCTGAGACCTGAATAAGGAACCAGGCATGTGAAAGATGTGGAAAAAACATTCTGAGCAGAGAGGACAACAGTGCAAATTCCCTAAGTTGGGATGTTTGATGTGGTCTAGGATCAGCCTAATGACACAGGATGGAGGAGTGACTCTAAGCTGGAGAATTGACAGGACACCAGTGACTACTTAAATGGGCACAGCTAGGAAAGAGCAGATTTTTTTTTTCTCAGTTGAAAAAATGCAGATCTTAGTTTTAGGCAGTTCCACCAACCAGAGTTTAACATTTCTGTTTAGGACTATCTACAAGCTGGTTATGAAAAATACATGCAAACTCCCAGAACACACAGAGGAACCAATAAAATCTGCACCCACATGCACAGTGCCTGAGCCTCCGCCTTGGGAAGGTGAGGGTGGGGGCTGCAGTCTGTGCCCTGGTTGTGGATGTGGCCCAGGCAAGGAGATTGGGGTCAGAGTTTGTGATCCAGCCAGGTGATGTGTGGGGGTCGGGTGGGTCAGAAGGACGCACCCAGGGCTGTGGTCCAGGTGCTGGTTGTGCACCAAATGAACAGGGTCTGGGTCCTTGCTGGGTCCTATTTGTGTGCTGGATGAAGGCCCGGAATCCTGGAACATGGGTTGGGGTCCAGGCCCCCACTCACTGGTGCCGAAGCTGCAACACAGCAACCTGCACTCCCCCACCCACCATTTTTTTTTTATTAAGGTATTATATTTGTACATATCTTACCATTGCCCTCCCTCCCCGCACTTCCATACATGCCCTCCCTCCCCAGAGTTTTTCATCCATTGGTTTTGCTTATATGCATGCATACAAGTTCTTCGGTTGATCTCTTATCTCCCCCATATCTCCCTACCCTCCCAGCTGTAATTTGACAGTCTGTTTGTTGCTTTACTGACTCTGTAAAACATACCGTTCTTGCCAAAGCAGTTCGCCGCGCAGCCATTGCCACCCCCGTGGGCCTTGAAGATCTCCAGGCACCACAAGGTGAAGCTTGAGTGGCCCAAGCTCACGTCCACCGAGCCTGTGACCAGTTGCAGCTGATGGTCACGAAGCACTTCTGCATCGGGTACTCGAACTCAAGGTGTGCCGTGAGGCCAGCCCACTGCGGGGACACACCGCCCAAGGCCTGCCTGACCTGGACTCATCCACCAGGAGCTGAGGCCCGGCCGCTGACTGGCAAGCGAGGAGTGGCAGCCGAGAAGAGCAGATACGGAAGGAGGTTATTGAGAGGAAGAGGTCTGCTGAAGCTTATTACGTTTTAAGGCCTTTTAGATACCCAAGTGCAGGTGTTAGGTGGAAAGTTGGAGCCTGGAGTTAAGGAGGAAGGAGCTAGAGATAAGTTTTTGCAAATACCTAAAGAGGCACGTATATGTGCTATTTTATTTTTTCTAATAATGTTCAAGTACTTCATTTAGAAGAAGAAAGGACATAGGATTGATATGACTATGGAAAAATTTGAGATCTTAACTATGTGTGGCTGAGAGGAAAAGACAAAAGGTTAAAGGATGATGGATGATCTTTATAAAGCAGCTGTGATAGAAAGGAAGAACAGAAAGAAATGGAAGATGTTTTAAAACTGTAACTATCACCCGGTTGGTGTGGCTTCGTGGTTCAGCTTAGGCCTATGAACCAGGAGGTCTCAGGTTCGATTCCCGGTCAAGGGCACATGCCCAGGTTGTGGGCTTGATCTCCAGTAGGGGTTGTGTAGGAGGCAGCCGATCCATGATTCTCTCTCACATGATGTTTCTCTCTCTCTCTTTCTCCGTCTCCCTTCCTCTCTGAAATCAATAAAAATAATATAAAAATTAAAATAAAAAATAAAAGTGTAGCTATCGCCCTAGCTAGTTTGGCTCAGTGGATGGAGCATCAGCCTGTGGACTGAAGGGCCCCAGGTTCAATTCTGGCCAGGAGCACATGCCCGGGTTGCGAGCACCATCCCCAGTGAGGGGCTTGCAGGAGACAGCCAATCAATGATTCTCTCATCATTAATGTTTCTATCTCTCGTCCCCTCTCCCTTCCTCTCTGAAATCAATAAAGAAATATATTTTAAAAAATAAAGTGTAGCTATCAAGATACTAATATTTCAAAAGCAGAGTGGGCTGAAACTGGTTTGGCTCAGTGGTTAGAGCATCGGCCTGTGAACTGAAAAGTCCCAGGTTCGATTCCAGCCAAGGGCATGTACCTTGGTTACGGGCACATCCTCAGTAGGGGGTGTGTAAGAGACAGCTGATTGATGATTCTCTCTCATCAATGTTTCTAACTATCCCTCTCTCTTCCTCTCTGTAAAAAAAAAATCAATAAAATATATATTTTAAAAAAAAAAAGCAGAGTGGTCCAAGTAGTGAAATGGCCCTGATTATGGTAATTGAGTGTGAAATGAGACTGAGGTCATTGGGACTGTAGAGGTTAAAAATGTCAGGTTAGGATGTTGGGTAAGTTGCTCTCGTGTGTGTTGAAGTTGTCAGGACAGTAGTAGGAATGGGTGGAGAGAACTACTCAGCAATGACCATGAGACGACAGTGACATGAAAGATTAAGTAGCTGGATGGCTTGAGCCTGAGTGAGTTGTGGGCAGGAGAGGAAGGGGTTGGAAGGAAGTATCAAAGTAGAAGAGAAAAGAGTTTCCAACAAACTTGACTTGGATCCCTCAGTTCCCTGAACTGCATACTTCCCTACCTTCTCACCTTCTCAGGTGCTCCCAACCTCATCTTCCCTCCTTGTGCTGATGGTTGTCAGTAAAGGAGGAGCGCTTACTGTTTCAGGAGCCAGTAACGTTCGAGGGCTTCTCTGCGGACTGCCCGCAGGAAGCTGCACAGAGCTGCGGTGCCGCAGCCCTACAGCCACTTGGTCTCAGTGGGTGAGAACATGAGCCTGGACACCTGCCCATTGGAGTCTTTGTTTCTTCCGTTTTAAATAGTGATGGGGTCCCAGGAGTTGTAGTTCAGGAATCAAAGTTTCCTAATTTATTTTTTACACAAAAGGATGTTTCTGATTATTCTAAGAAGCTAAAGAACTTGGTAAGAATTGGAGAATTGTAGCGTTACTGAGTCGTCTGGGAAATCATACCGGATCCATCCCTGATAAGCCAGAATTTGGTACTGATTTGCTTTCTGCACAGTTATTCAACCAACCTCTGTGTGTTACCCAGACATGATCTTTCAGTTGACAGAGTTGAAGTTAGTTACGTAATGAAGAACAAACTCCAAAGGAATCAGCAAGGCATCGTGGCAAGTTACAAATCCAGGCTAATCCACAAAAGAGGAGTCCCTTACATTTTATTTTTTACTTAAATCTTTATTGTTGAAAGTATTACAGGTCCTCTTTTTGCCCCATTGACCCCTTCTAGCCCACCCCCAACCTCACCCCCCAGCTCTTCACTACCCTATTGTCTGTGTCCATGAGTTATGCATATATGCATACATGTTCTTTGGCTGGTCTCTTCACACTACCCACCCTCCCCCGTTTTCCCTCTGAAATTCCAGTCTGTTCTATGCTTCTATGTCTTTGGGTCTATTTTGTTCATCAGTTAATGTGAGTGAGATCATGTGATACTTACCTTTCTCTGATGAGTTTATTTCACTTAGTGTAACACTCTCCAGGTCCTTCCATGCTGTCTCAAAGGGTAAGCGATCCTTCTTCTTTACTGCTGCATAGTATTCCACTGTGTAAGTGTACCACAGCTTTTTTATCCACCCGTCTATTGATGGGCACAGATCCTGGCTATTGTACATTGTGATGCTATGAACTTAGGGCTGCATACATTCTTTCTGACTGGTGTTTTGGGTTTCTTATAATATATTCCTAGAAGTGGAATCACTGGGTCAAATGGCAGTTCCATTTTTAATTTTTTGAGGAAACTAAGTCCCTTTTTAAATGTTTAAGGAGTTCTCTTTGAAGTTCTCTGGTCTGTGGAGAAGGCTGAGGCTTCAATGATACTTTGCACAAACTGATCTGCCTGTATCTGTTCACTTACTCTCCCTTCCGGCTTTTCAGAAAGTCGTGGTCTTCCTCATTCACACTGACCTTCTTATCTGTTCTTCGTCTTCTCCCATGTTTTCCCTGCCTTCTCCATTAAAAACCCCACTGCCCTGCAATATCTGTTTCCCTTTGCTTCTCTTCTTACACATCAGAGACTCATCCGTCTCCCCTTCTGCATATAAGACAACATCCATGTAGTGATAGTTAGGAGTAGAGCTGACACAGGTTTCCTCAAAAAGCTTTTGACTACTTGAAGCAAAGAGCCTGAAACATTTCTGATGAAATAATTTTTAGGTATCTACCCTAAGGAATTAGTAACATCAACTGAAAATTGTGAACAGTCATTATAGAATTATTTAATACAGTGAAATAATTACTCACCAAATATATCAGAGGGGGTTGGTTATACAAATTATAGAGGGTCATATATTGGTAAGAGAAAAACATGTAGCCATTAAAATATATATTGATCAAGACTTTTTAATTTGTATTGAAATTATTAGGACAACATTGGTCAAAAAAATTATATAGGTTTCAAGTTTACAATTCTATAATAGATCATCCATATATTATCTTATGCGTTCACCACTCCAAATCAAGTCTCCTTCAATCACCATTTATTTCCCCTTTACTCTGTTCAGTGTTCCCTAATCCCCTTTTCTTTCTGGTAACCACCGTACTGTTTTCTGTCTCTGAGTTTGGGGTAGGAGGAGTTTGCTTACTGCCTTCACCTTTTTTATCCTACCCCTCAACCTCTCCCTTCTGACAGCTGAGTCTAGTCTCTGTATCTAGGTCTGCTTCTGTTTTGTTTGTTAGTTTATTTTGTCCATTCGATTCCACATATGAGTGAAATCATATGGTACTTGTCTTTCTCTGACTGGCTTATATCACTTGGCATAATGTTCTCTAGGTCCACCCATGCTGTCACAAAGGGTAAGATTTCCTTTTTCTGTAGCCCCATAGTATTCCATTGTGTAAATGTACCAAGCTTTTTTATCCACTCATCTGCTGATGGCACCTGGGCTGTTTCCAGATCTTGGCTATTGTAAATAATATGCTATGAAGAGAGGGGTGCATATAGTCTTTCTGATTGGTGTTTCTGGATTCTTAGGATATATACCCAGAAGTGGTATTGCTGGGTCAAAAGCAGTTCTATTTTTAATTTTTTAGGAAATTCCATGCTGTTTTTCACAGTGGCCACACCAGTCTGCGTTCCCACCAGCAGTGCTTATGAAAATTAGTTTCTACTTTTTTTGTCTGCTTACATTTTATTTTTTTTTAAGAACTTGAGGGCAACAGTTTCTTTTTTTTTTTTTTTAATATTTTATTGATTTTGTACAGAGAGGAAGGGAGAGAGATAGAGAGTTAGAAACATCGATGAGAGTCATCGA